AAATGATTTAGACTAATTGAATATTTTGAATATGGATATCATGCGTGTTGCTAAATTTCTTTGCTTTTATTTAGTTCAGTCTTGGCCAAGTCGGGATGTATGAAGTGTTGAACTTCAATTTTTTTACATTTAGATGGTCTGGTTATTATTCAGTTAAATATTCAGCGACGCCCATTGATTTTCAAGATTGTGGAACAGAAGCAGCAGTTTCGGAACCAACTTCTTGAAATTAAAATTTATTTTATTTTCCTTATTCTTTTCAGAGATTGGTGTCTTTCCCGTCAGGTGTGGTGGGGCCACCCAGTGCCGGCGTTTGAGTGTCGCGTGCAAAACCCTGGCCGCAAAACCGACGGAAAACGCTGGATTGCCGCGGAAACGGCGGCGCAGGCCCGTTCGAAAGCCGCCGAATGGTTCGCCGTTCCCGAACAAAGCGTCGTCATATCTCCCGACACTGACGTGCTCGACACTTGGTTCTCTTCGTCTTTGCTGCCGCTGGCATTGGCCAGCATGCGCCGTGGACCAAACGACGCCCAGACCCCGTACCCACTGAGTATGATGGAGACTGGGAAGGATATTCTGGTGTTCTGGGTTGCGAGGATGATGCTGATGGGAATGGCCCTGGGTCAGGGAGTGATGCCGTTTCAAGACTTGGTCCTCCACGGATTGGTACACCTGTCGCTTCCTGCCTTTTACAGCTTCAGCTTCCCTTTACGGCACCTGGGCTACTTGCAGTAGGCACCTCGTAGAAACCTGCACTCAACACACATGTAATAAAAACACAGTATGACAACTAAAGGGTCGGAATTCACCGCGTGATAATTTGTTCACAATGTTGATCTGCTGCGAAAATGGGTCAGCCATTTGGTAAGATTTCCTTTTCCAGTTGAAGTGTTGTATTTTTTTCCTTGTTTGGGTAGATCACTAACAATCACATGTCAGGAAAATTCAAGCTGAGTCTTCAGTATTGGTTCAGATGTTGAGCATTTTTCATTCTTAATTTCTGCGTTTCACAAATAATCTTGATGAACCATGAATAAGTGGGCTCTTTTGGGATACAATTTTCCCTGAGGCTTCATGGCCATGGCAAGTAATGTTTTCAATTGGAATTTATTTACTTGATTTGATAATGTGCTTGAATTCTTGTTGGCAACTATTGAGCGCCATTAAAATTCAAATTCAGGCTTCACGATCATGTTATTTCTTTTTATTTTTTTACTTGCAGGATCTCGAGTCAAGTCTGCGACAGAACAAAGCTGAGGGTTTATTGAATGAACATGAATTTTCTGCAGCTCTTGCTGAGCAAAATGCAGCGTTTCCATCTGGAATACCGGTCTGTGGAGCAGATGCTCTTCGTTTGACCCTATTGTATTCTGACGTGAAATCGGATCGTGTTCGAATCGACGTTGACCGTGCGCGTGCAATGGCGGCATTTGCAAACAAAATTTGGCAAGCGACTCGGTTCGTCACCCAACACAACCCTGAGCCCATTCCGAGTGCAGAAACGAATCTGGAACGAGCAAAACGACCGATTGATGCCTGGATCCTGAGTCAGTTGGCGTCAACGGTGGAAAAGTGTGACGTTGGATTGCGCAACTATGATTTTCACGTTGCCGTGGCTGCGCTGTACGAGTTTTGGTACGGTGCCTTTTGTGATGTGTATTTGGAAGCGTGCAAAAGTGTGCTGTGGGGTCCGGAGTGTGACGTGAAAATCGGTGTGAGGGCTGTGTTGGATGTGTGTCTGGACGCGGGTTTGCGGCTGTTGTTCCCATTCATGCCGCACGTGACTGATGAGCTTTTCCATCGGTATCATCGACGGTGTGGTGCAAGTTTCCAACCTCCTTGTGAATCTCTGATCAGAGCTCCGTATCCAGTTCCTGAAAAAGTGAGCTGTGAACATTTTTCACCAACCGGAAACATTTTGATTGTTTTTGGCCTATTCAAGTGAACGATTTTTTTTTTCTGGCGAGATAAAATTATGACTTGAAAGGGTTATTCCATTCCCGCGTTGCAGTTTTCAGCGGAATGAGGCGCCATCACTTATTACTGCACGGATTAGATTTACAGACTTTTTGCCCACGAGATTGAATATGCGGATTTTTAATGGAACAGTGTGCTGTACTGTACTCAAATTGGAGGATGCTGGTACTGCTGGACGTAAAATTTGATGACATAATTCAGAATTTTTACGATCTAGAGAGCCGAGCAATTATTATTGCCATGTTTTTCAGTGGAAGCAGTTCGAAAATCCGGATCTGGATGCGGCGTTTGATGAAGCTTTCAAACTGATTGAAGTTTTAAGGAAGCACAAGTTGGGTCTGAAACTCGGGAAAGTCAGACCAGATGGTGAGAAAACGTGTTTGTCATCACAATCATGCCGCAGTGTTTTCCTGAAGTTCAACTTTTGTGTCACAGTTGCTGTTGTATGGCCGAACATGGCTGGGCATGTAGTCGCCCAATTTCGAGACGTCATTGTGGATTTGGCAAAAGTGAATTCACTTGAATTTTGCTTGGCTGAAGCTGATGTGTCCAGTGGTTTCCTTCTACTCGCTGGTCCTTATCCTGACGTCAATGTGTTCATGAATGTGGAGGTTCGTTGGGGAAAAAACTTTCTTTTTGCGTTCGTACCCGGGCTGATTCTGATTGTAAATTACCTGTTTTTCCAGCGTCTGAATGTTGATGAGGAAATCGCTCGAAGGCTTGTGAACATTCAGAAAGATTTGGATGGTCTGAAGGAAAAAATCAATTCGAAGAAGTTCTCGAAAATTGTTCCGTCGAGGCGATTGCAAATTGAGAAAAAGGTTGGTTTTACCTTAATTCTGTTTCCAGTTCATTCTTATGCTTGCATTGTCTTTTTTTTTTTTTACTCAATTTGGAATTTTTTCTCTATTTTAAAGTGCAAGGACCGTTGGTTCAAAAGTTCTGCGAAACTTTACCTTGAAACATTTCAATAGAGCTCACATCACTTCATCAATTAACGTGTCTTCGGAAAAAATTCTTTAGAGTTGAAGTTTGGGCATGCTTGAACATTGAAACAGTAAAAATAAATTTTGATTTAAACCCTGGCAATAATATGTATTTTTCGTGAGGATACTGTTTCGTGTTGGAAAAACTTTTGAAACGACCCTTCGTTAGAATTCTTATCGTTCGACTGGTGCACTTATCTGCATTCTTAGCATTTGATTTTTGTGTGTTCCTTTTTTTTTCTCAGTACGCCGCATTGGAATTCGAAAGGGAGCAATTGGCAGCAGCTGTCAAAATGCAAAAATCGTGATTGTGTTCTTCTTACGTAGTCGACTTGACTCGAGCCATGTTGTGATCCCAATGTCCGTGGGACTCCTTATTGCACGAAGTTTTCGGGAAAAATGAAACAAATTTTATACGCCTGATTCTTTTAGTTCTACTGACGATTTCTTTTCAAGCTTTTATCTTATCACGCAACGAGGTCGGAAAACGTCACCATTCCCAATGTGCGGAATACGAGCAGATTTCTTCTTAGTCATATCATTCGAGAAAAAAAAGGAGGTAACATCGAATTGGGAGGATGTTCGGGAAATACTTTTGGGCTACATCTCTCGTGCTACCGTTTGCGGTATTCGGACAGAGACCATTTGAGGGCTGTCAAACTGCAGATGTTTGCTCTAATGTGAAGTGTTTTGATCCTGATGACCCTGAAGTCACTTGCGATGGAATTGTCATGCCGGACTTCGACTATCCCTGCAAATGTTGTCCTGTCACGTGCATCAAATACTTGAGTGAGTATGCAGAAATCGTGAGGTGTATTTTTAAATATTAAGGAATTATATTCATGTATTTTAGGCTCCCGAATTCTATCATTTTTCTGCGTTATAATGTGATTTGTCCAGAGCGCGATTTTCAGGCGATTTCGATATAAGTCCTGTCTCATGAATGAGTCATGGTAAATATCATGGAACATTTATAATGATCGATCGTATAAATGGTGATGGTAACTTAGCATTTAGGAGTTTGAAGCTTTTGTTGAGAATTCGAACGCTCGATTGACAGAAATGAAGTCCTCGTGAACACAGAAGTTTTTTTCTAAATTACCCATTATCCAAATTCAATTGAAAGTTCCTGCATGGGTTCATAGAACATTTTTATTTCTTGTCCGAAAAGTATCCATGACACCTATACAATGTACGTTTTAGTAACATAGAAATTGGAAAAAACATGTTTGCTCTAATATGTTGCAATTTTTCCGCTGTTCCAGAGGAAGGAGCGAAATGTATTCGTTCACGGACCACGCCACCGAATGAAGTTTGCGGGCCCGGCTTGACGTGTACAGAAGAGGGAGACGAAAGTTTTTGTCAAAAGTGTTCGTGATGTTTTCTTTTTAATAAATTTGAAAGCT